ATATAAAGGTTAGCTGTTATTATTATTGCTGTGATTTGAGTTCATGGTTCATTGCCCGCTCTTGCTCCTATCTTTGGTAAATATCTAAGTCATCAGTGATTTACCCAGAGATTCAAATTAGTCTCCTTAGACAATTCCCCCCCTTTCTTCTTTGTTGGAAATATTTCTCTTTGTGTCTTCATAATTCTTCTTACTCCTCTTGGTCAGAGTTGCCCAGCACCGCTTTAGGCCACTGAATCCCACCCTTTGGAACCCTTTGAAATCCCACTTTCCTAAAATCTACAATTTATGTCAAAGTAGGCCTAGATGCTCTGTCAGAAATTCTAATGAGATATTTCACATTGTTTTCTATTTTTCATTCTTTCAGATCTGTTTTACAGTGTCTTGATTGCTCATAAAGTCACTAGCTTCCAATTGCTCCACTCTAATTTTTAAGGAAGTATTTTCTTCAGTAAAGCTTTTGGACTTCCTTTTCCATTTGGCCAATTTTGCTTTTCAGGGCATTCTTCTCCTCCTTGGCTCTTTGGACCTCTTTTGCCATTTGGGTCAGGCTATTTTTAAGGTGTTATTTTCTTCAGTGTTTCTGGGGGTACTGTCACAAATTCTAAGACCAAGTAATAAATTCCACCCAAAGTTCCCATCATTTCCACCCCATCAACCAGTTGTTACTTTCTGGTAAGAACCAGATACATAATAGAAATTTCCTTCATTGATTCTTCTACCTTTTAAAATATGAAATGAGCATGAAGGCAAATCAAACTATTGCTAGTTCCTCTTCTTTGGAAAGAGAGTGAGCTTCAGCAAATGTTCAGATAATTGAAATCTCCAATCGCCACTGTATCATGTCTCTGTGACAGAATCCTGATATCTATCTCCCAATTGCCATTTTTTCTATTTCTGTCTCTACTAACTTTCAGCCAAACATACTCTACCATGTATCACTCCTCTGGTCCCTATATTTCCTTTCATAAGTATATAATATATGTGGAAATATATTCCCACATAGACATATACAAACACATCCCTTCTCTCTTTAGGTTACATATTACAAAATCCTATTAGAATAGTACTTTTTTTCTGAAGTTTTTGGTCTAATTTGTATGAGAAACTCTTATTTGTCTTTCTTTAACTATCAGTTCTCAAAATGTCGCAGTCTGAGATAATTTTTAACATCCTTTTCTAATCTACTTCTGAAACTAAATCAGGATTTCTGAACTGCAGTATGTATTAAGGATCCTCAAAAAGTCTGGCACCAATAGAGTAAAACCCCATTAGGTGTGGATGAGGGTGGGGAGATGCACCTGGCTGTTTAAAGTGGCATGAATTGTCCTAGATGGGAAACCAGGTGGGCCAAAGCCAATGAGTACCAGAGGCTGCATCTTCAGACTGGGAAAGATAGGAAAACCCAGTCTAAAAACATATTTAGAGAAGAGGTCTGTAGGCTTCACCAGACTGTGTCAGTGGTAACCATGACACAGAAACGTATTAGGAACCCCTGTTTAGCAGGTCACAAAGTTACTATTCTGGTTTGTTTGTTTGTTTTTTAATAGGTTCTGTTGTCAATTTTCACCTAAAGTCTGTGACTATGTTATATCATGTCTTGAAGTTTTGGCTTTATTTGGGAATACTATAAATTGCAATTCCAAAATGTCTGGCAACTGAGAAATTTTCAGAGGTGTGGGGAAATTGTACCCCCTTGGACTTCTCCTTAAACAGAGGTGCTTAGAATTAGAATAATTGAATTAAGAAAAATTATCTCTGTCAGGCTTGTGAACAAAAAGCATAGGTTTTTTTTTTTAATCTTACATAGTGTTACTTAACTTCCACCCCAATCCATCCTACTCCTACCTACCTATCCTGTGCTTTTGAATAAGGCTTACTCTTCTGAAGCCACTCTAAGCATTCCTCTCAACCCACTAAATCCCAAAGATAGCCAGGATATAAGATATACCTCCTTGGATTGTTATCTATAGTTCATATTGTTGTTACCCATACTTGGTATGTTCACATATGGATATTATGAAGGTTCTTTTCTTGTATTTTGTCTCCTGTGAGTTGCAGGGCATATTTACCTCCTGCTAACCCAATTAATCTCAGAATGAACTGGAAACTCAAGCAAGCTAAAATCCTATACTCATTCTCCCATAGAATAATTCTCCAAAATGGGGGCAGATACACAATCCTATTTAGTCGTTCTGTAGGCATTACTGTGAATCCACATTCCCACTTGACACATCCTTCCCTTGCTCTCTGTTGCCTCACTGCTTCCCCAGACTTCCGTATCTACAGATGATGCCCTGGGGCCCCACGGACCCTGACTCAACACCCTTGGAAGGTTAACATACAGATACCAAAGAAGAGGGGTTGGGGAGACTCCATCCCTCTTAGGTTTGCTTCCCGGTTTCTTTTAAAGTCACTGCTTAATGTTTTTAATTTTGCGTTTAAGGCCTTTCAGGTTCCATAGAACATTGTGGAGCGTTCCTCTGTCCCAAGCCTCTCATTCGCTCCCCTCTTTGTCTGGAGAACCTCTTAACATGAGAGGAAAGAGAGAGAGTCAGAGCTTAGGCACCAGGCCAGATGGCTTCTGGTGGCTACACAGGATCCATGGTGGAGAAGTATTTTCAGTCCAAAGCACAATTGGAATGTGACAGTGACTGGTCCAGGAAACCCAGCAGTCAGCAACATCCCAAAACGTACAGGAGGCAAGAGAGACATAAACCAGAGGAGGTTTGTAGAGGAAGAATTTATAGGCTCAGACACTCAAGACAGAGAAGCTCTGATGATGATGATGACCAAAGAAAAACCTCCAGGCACGCTTCCATTGTCTGCATATCAAAGCTTGCTCCTCCCCTGGGCCCGTAAAGATAATTGGATGCAGAGCACTAGTTGACATCGAGGGCTAAAGAAGAGGCCCTGGAAAATAACTCTGAACATCTCAACCTATATTTGGGTTCAAATCTGCTGCTTAATTATGTGTGTGCCTTTAGATAAGTCCTTTAAGTCCTCTGGGCTGCCATTTTGTCCCCTAAAAAATTAAGCAGCCAGACTAAGTAATCTCTAAGGTTCGTTCCATCACTATATCCTATTGTCTATGATTCCTCATCCTAGATTTTCTTCATTTGGGGGAGGGGGAAGAGGAATAATCAGTTCCTCAAGGCCCTCAAATTCTTCACCCTTCTACTCCATCAAAGTCTTTGGGAACCAAAGTGCACCCCCACATGGGCCAATGGAGTAAGGTTTTAGCAGAGAAGGACCAACTTGGTTGTTAGGCATAGGGCTTGATCAAGGAGAGCTACTCTCCCCAAAGAAGTCTAGGTCCCTCTCTAGGAGGTTAGGACACAGTTTACATTTTTTCCCACCTGAGAAGAGTGAAAATATCTGGTTTTCAAAGCTAATGCAACCAAGATTAGAAGGGAAGCAGAAAGCTAGGAAACAATTTTTTACAGCCAATGTTTCTGGTAAAGGCCTCATTTCTAAAATATGTGGAGAACTGAATCGAATTATAAGAAATACAAGTCATTCCCCAGCTATTAAATGGTCAAAGGATATGAATAGGCAGTTTTCAGAGGAAGAAATTAATGCTATCTATAGTCATATGAAAAAATGCTCTAAATCACTATTGATTAGAGAAATGCAAATCAAAATGACTCTGAGATACCTATCAGATTGGCTAACATGATAAAACAGGGAAATGATAGATGTTGGAGAAGATGTGGGAAAATTGGAACACTAATGCATTACTGGTGGAGTTGTGAACTGATCCAGCCATTTTGGAGAGCAATTTGGAACTATGCCCAAAGAGCAATAAAATTGTGCATACCCTTTGACCCAACAATAGCACTTCCAGGGCTCTATCCCAAAGATATCATAAAAATGGGGAAAGGACCTACATGTACAAAAATATTTATAGCAGCTCTTATTGTGGTGGCAAAGAATTGAAATTGAGGGGATGCCCATCAGTTGAGGAATGGCTGAACAAGTTGTGGTATATGAATGTAATGGAATACTCTTGTGCTATAAGAAAGGATAAGCAGGCAGACTTCAGAAAAACCTAGAAAGATGTATATGAATTGATGCTGAGTGAAATGAGCAGAACCAGGAGAACATTGTACATAATAACAGCCACACTGTGTGATGACTGCCTTTGATAGACTTGGTTCTTCTCAGCAATGCAAAGGATCTAAGACAACTCCAGAAGACTCGCAATGGAAAATGCTATCCACATCCAGAGAAAGAACTATGGAGTCTGAATGCAAATGGAAGCATGCTATTGCTCTCCTTTTCTTTTGTTGTTGTTTTATTTCTTCTTTCGCGTGGTCCCTCTCATTAGTTCTAATTCTTCTTTACATCATGACTAATGTGAAAATATGCTTAATATGAATATGTAAGTAGAGCTATATCAGATTGCACGCCATGTTGAGGAAAAGGGAGGAGAGGAAGGGGGAGAAAATTTTAAACTCAAAATCTTACAGGAGTGAATGTTGAAAACGAAAAATAAATCATTTTTTAAAAAGAAAAAAAAAGAAACTAAAAAAAAAAAGAAAACATCCATTTTTCTCCCTCATGGGAGGGAGAAATCCTTATTCCTGGATGGGGGTGGTACTGATCCTAGTAATGGAGGGAGAAAGAAGAAGAGGGAAGGGTGGGGGAGCCAACTACAATTTCCAACTACTAGGAAGGCTTTTGCCTTTTGCACTTAGGTAGAAGAGAAAGTGTGACAGGGGAGGGGGGAAGCTTATAAAGGCTTTGAAGATGAAATGGGATCTGTGGGTCCATGAACAGTGATTGTTGACACAGCTGTACCAGAGAGGCAAGCTAAGTTGGTTTTTAAGAAGACAGGAGTGATGCCAAGCCAATAAAATGCACCTATCATCACCTTTTTGCTGCCCCCTTTAATGCAGCTCTCCCTGACAAATAAAAAGGCAGAGCCACTGCCTAGATCTCAGAAGCATTTGCTGGATTCTCATCCATCAGCACCAGGACCTTCTGCTACCTTCGCCATGACTTGTGGAATTAGCACTGTGGGCTGTGGATTCCGCCCCAGAAATTTTAGCTGCGTCTCGGCCTTCGTGCCTAGGTTGGGTGACCGCTGCTGCATCAGTGCTGCTCCCTACCGAGGAGTGTCCTGCTACAGGGGACTGACCGGCTTTGGCAGCCGCAGCATCTGCGGAGGCTACAGGGCTGGCTCCTGCGGCCGGAGCTTCGGCTACCGCTCTGGGGGAGTGTGTGGACCCAGCCCTCCCTGCATCACCACCGTGTCTGTCAACGAGAGCCTCCTGACCCCCCTCAACCTGGAGGTTGACCCCAATGCCCAGTGTGTGAAGCATGAGGAGAAGGAACAGATCAAGTGTCTCAACAGCAAGTTTGCTGCCTTCATTGATAAGGTCAGTGTCAGAGGCCCTTGGGTTCCCAAGCTTTCTGTGTGCTGGGCATTAAGGGAAGACCCAGATCAAGAAGGGAAGATGGCTGCTACCCTTGGGATACTTTTGGTCTGGTTGCAGAAGAGGTGAGAGTGAAGGTAGCATGGCGTAGCGTGGACAGGGACTTGTGTCTGACATCAAGGAAACCTGAATTCAACTCCTTTCCCCAGAAACTTAGGAGCTGCGTGCTGCTGGACAAGATACTTGTCCTCTTTGTGCCCATTTCTTCATCTGTCAAATGACTCAATTGCTTCAATGCCCTCTAAGATTCCTCCCAACACTAAATCTCTGATCCTAAAATACAGAGATGAGAGAGCAGGACAGAATGAGGTGCAGCTGGACAGAGCTCTAGATCTCAATGCCTTAGGCGGAGACAGAGAAAGAGGGGGATGGAGTTAGGATGCTAAGAAGCCTGGAGATCTGGAGAGTATGCTCTATGAGTTTGGGTTGGGAAGTGGAAATATCTGGTTTGAAGAAGAAAAGAATGGATGGGGGTGAACTGAGATGGTACGTGACTATGGACAAGTCACTTAACTCATGTAAGCCTCAGATTCCCCATCTGTAAAAATTAGGGGGTTGGCCATCTGAAAGTCCTTCCAGCTCTGGGCTTATGAGCCCATGAACCTCATTAGAGATTGGCATGGGAAAGAGGAACGAGATGTGTTTTGCTTGACCCCAGAAAGCAGAACGAGGAATAGTGGGTGGAAGCTGATGAGGGACATATTTCCGCTATGAAAAACGTCCTAGTGATCAGATCTGTTCCAAAGTCGAATTTTTGGCCTTTGGAAGGTAGTGAGTTTCCCATTTCTGGAGCTCTTCACAGAGAGGCTGAATGACCACCCATGGAGGAAGAGGGTATTGTAGAAGGCACTCTGAACTGGATATAAACTAGACAAGATGATCTCTAAGGCCCTTCCACTCCTCTGTCTATTGCGTTGTGCTTCAACCTTCCTGGGGGTGGTCACTTTCATCCTAGAGTTTACCTTTTATAAATCAGGAAGTGAAGTTTAGTGGTCATGTAGAAGGCAGCTAAGGCGGCTCAGTGGTTAGTCAGGAAGATTTGAAATCTGGCCTTAGATACTTTCTAGCTGGGTGACCCTGGGCTTAACCTCTGTGTGCCTCAGTTTCCTTATGTGTAAAATGAACTGGAGAAGGAAATAGCAAACCTCTCCAGTAACTTTGCCAAGAAAACCCCATGGATAGTATTGCCATGCTATGATCCATGGGGTCATGAAAGGTCAGACATGACTGAACAAGAACAAAACAACCATAGTGTTCCTGTGGAATCGAACTTCGGTTCATGACCTTGGGACGATCCTCAAAGCTCTCTTTAAGAGAGGTACCACTCACCTTGGCCATTTGAATGTGGGTCAAAAAATGTTTGATCCAAATATCTTTAAGCCAAATCAGAATGATGACAGAATGAGGAGGGGATCTATCCTTAAAGGAATCAGATGTCAAGAACCCTAGAAGCTTTGCAGGTCATCTAGTCCAATGTCTTCATCTTGCAGCTGAAGAAACTGAGTCCTAGTAAAGTGGAATAATAGCTAACATTTATATAGGGCTTTAAGGTTTGTTAAGTGCTATTATCTCATTTGATCCTTTTATTACCCCCTGTTTTACAGAGGAGGAAACTGAGATAGACAGAGGTTAAGTGACTTGCTCAGAGTCACACAGCTAGTAAGTGTCTGAGGCTGGATTTGAACTCAGGTCGACCTGACTCCAAATCTGGCACTCAAGCCACCATATGATTTAGCTAGGAATGACTTTCCCACACAGCCAATTAAATGGCTGAGTGGAGGTTCAGACCCAGATCTCCTCTCATACACAGTCCAGTACTGGAGCATCTTTCCCCTATACCTTGACTTCCTTGACAGCCTTTGGCCAGACCCATATTGAATTTCACTCTAGAGAGGAAGAGACTGCCATCTTTTGTCTCCACTGAGGACCAAAAGAAATAGCCTGAAACTGCAACATGAGGGTTTTAGAATAGATGAAAGGAAAGAAAAATTTACCAGAAGGGAGGATCATTAGACAACGGGACAGGTTGCTGTGAATCCCCTTCTCTGCAACAAGAGAGATTGTTATGTATTCAATGACTTAAATGGAATTCCATCTGGAACCAGGGGAGGAGGTGGGAGGAGCTGCTTTCAAATTTTTCATTCTACGGTTATTAAATGTAATGTTCTGGGAGTCTGGAGAACTGGGTTGTAGTTCTTCTTTCACTAAGGTGCTGTGTGACCTAAGGCATGTTGCTCAACCCCTCTGAGCCTCCCTTTCCAGCTCTGTCAAATGAAGGAGTTGGACTGAATCATCTTTGATGTCCCTTTCAAGTCTCACATTCAGTGGCTGCTGATTCTAATTGCATTATTATGAAAGAACCAAATGTTTTGTGCATTATGCAGCCTTATTATTCACCTTTTTGGCGTGGGTATGGGAGGAAGTTTACTCTTTGGTTTAATTGAACGGCATTATGTCAGCTCTGTGCTGGATGCTGGACATGCAAAGATGAAAAAAAAAAAACCTGACAGAGTTCCTCCTCCTTCTTCTCTCCTCCCCTCAGCTCTGATTGGTTGTTATATCTTGCTGATTCTGTCTTAACAATAAATCCCATTTAATAGAGCTTTAGGATATAAACCAAAATAGGATACCACAAATTGTCTTCTTCACAACAAGCCAGTGAAGCCCTGTGATGCCCATTTTACAGATGAGTAAACTAAGGCACAGGGAGCAATCTGCTCAGCATCAGACGTTTTAGACGTAGATTCTTCTCAAACCCAGGTCTCCTGACTCCACAATATGCTTTCCATCACTCTAGGCTGCCTTCTTCCTCGTGAGTATTTCTTAAATTCCTCTCTGTCTTTCTACTTTCTACCGGTGCATCTTAGCTCAAGCTCTTGTCAAGAGTCCCTGATTAGTGTTATATAGTGTCATATAGTCTAACAGCATTATATAGTCTTATAGTTATATAGGGTTACATAGTCTGCTAACAGTTTTATCTCCAGCAGTCCTCTCCCCTCTCCGAGTCAAGTGAACAAGCATTTATACATCACCTGCTGTGTGCTAGGCAGTCTGCTAAGCACCGGGGATACCAAAAATGAAGAAAACAATCCTTGCTCTCAAGAAGTTTGCAGACTAATGGGGGAAGACCACATGTAAACAACTATGTACAAATAAGATGCATATGGGATAATTGGAGATCTGAGAGGGAAAGCAATGGCATTAAGGGGACCAGGAATAAACTTCTTGCAGAAGGTAGGCTTTTACCTGAGAGTTGAAGGAAGCCAGGGAAATTAGGAAGTCTAGCTGAGGAGGGAGAGAATTCCAGGCACAGGGGGCAATCAGAGAAAACTTCTGGAGTCAAGAGACTGAGTGTCTTGTTGGAGGAACAGAAAGTCTCCAACTCATACCTTGTAGACCAACCAGCACAAGTCTGATCGTGTCACTTTTCATTCAGAAATCTTCCATGGCTCCCTATTGCCTAGAGGGCAAAATACAATCCACATCCTGGTATTTGAGAAGTGCCACAATTTGGCACTGTCTTACCTTTATATATTCTATACTGCAGCCAGAATGGATTAGGAGCTCTTCTCCAATCTCATTCTGGTTCCTTCTATCTCCTCACACTCTCAGGGACCAATCCCTCGTGCCTGTGATGTAGGAACAAGCTGCTAACCTCCACCTGTTGAAATCTTTCTCTATTTTTTGAGACTCAGTTCAGTTAGCACTTCTCTTAGGAATTTTCATACATCCCCAGTTGAAAAACTCTCCCTCCTGACACTTCTTTGGGTCCTTTACCTGGATCTCTCTTTCATGTCTACCATATTCTACCTTGTAACGTATTAATTTGTGTGCCTGTCCTGGCCCCCCCACCCCCAATCAGGTTGCACGTTTCCAGGCAGCAAGGATTGTGTAATGTTCAGCAACTACCTAGCACAGTGCCTTGCATGCAGTAGGCACTTTATAAGTGTTTCTTGAAGACTATCAGATGGCATAATGGATAAAGTGCTGGACTTGGAGTCAGGAAGACCTGCATTTGAATCTTGTCTCAGTTGCTTTCTGGCTGATGACTCTGGGCCAACGACTTGCCTCCTCTCAGCCTCAGTATCTTCATCTATAAAATGGAAATAATAATAATAATAATGTGAACTACCTCATCAGGTTGTTTTGAAAATCAAATGAGATACAAAGCATTTTGCAAACATTAAAATGCTATATAAATGTTAGCTATTATTAAACTCTGTGACCTCTAAGGATGACTTAGGCTTTAGATGCAGAAGCTGTCTCATTTCTCTTTTGAAGTAGCTGATGCTCTGAGATGCTAAAAGAGTTACCCAGGTCTACAGAGGCAAAAAGAATTGGGACCCAGATGCTCTAACACCAGATACAGTGCTCTTTCCATTACTTTTATCCGTGGTGCAATCACACAGATCAGCTCCCCAAAGGCACACGCTCAGACTTTTTGCATTGGCATCATAGGTACGATTCCTGGAGCAGCAGAACAAGCTTCTGGAGACCAAGTGGCAATTCTACCAGAACCGGAAATGCTGCGAGAGCAACTTGGAGCCCCTGTTTCAGGGCTACATCGAGACCCTGAGGCGGGAGCTGGAGTGCGTGGAGGCTGACAGTGGTCGCCTGGCTTCTGAGCTCAATCACGTGCAGGAAGTGCTGGAGGGCTACAAGAAAAAGTGAGTAATTCGTGAGAGGTGGGAAAGGTTCCTGGTATCTGATAAGAATGCGCCCCTAAATCAGGCTTGTAAATACTGCCTACATGCTCATTCCAGGCTTTACTAGAATTGGGGATATATAAGGGAATCTTAGAGTATCTGCTTCCAGAGAAGCACCTCCCTGGGGAATAGAAATGAGCCAACTTTTGGGGGCAGCTAGGTGGCACAGTGGATAGAGCACCGGCCCTGGATTCAGGAGGACCTGAGTTCAAATCTGGCCTCAGACACATAACACTTACTATCTGTGTGACCCTGGACAAGTCACTTAACCCCCATTACCCAACCAAAAAAAAAAACCCAAAAACAAACAAACAAAAAAAAGAAATGAGCCAATTTTTGTGATGTGCCCAGATCTGGACAAAAGGTTCCCAGGGCTATGATACCTATGTATGTGTTATCCTGGCTCCTTTCTTCTTTTTTGCCCTTCCAAACCACTCTACCCTGGTTCCATGGCTCAGCCAAAGGAAAAGCTGCATTGGGAATCAATGGATTTGAACCATCCTCCAGGCTCAGTGGCTCCTTACAAGCCACAATTCTGGGAATGAACGGAGGTGCCCTGGGAGATTGGGCCAACAGTCTTCTGAGGACTGGTCTTATCTGTTTAGACCAGGGGTGGGGGAACCTATGCCCATGAGGCCACATGTGGCCCTCTAGGTCCTCAAGTACTGCCCTTTGACTGAATCTAAACTTGATGGAACAAAGCCCTTAATAAAAGGATTTGTTCTGTAAAACTTGGACATCTAGACTCCAGGTGCTTTAAAGCCATTTTTTGAGATTTGTTCAGACAAAGCCTGAGCCTCTTCTCTCTCACCTCAGGTATGAGGAAGAAGTCGCTCTTCGGGCTACAGCTGAGAACGAGTTTGTGGCACTGAAGAAGGTGAGTGATTAAGAACCAGGGACGAGATCCTGATCCTTCCTGCTCCCAGCCTCTAGGGTCCAGGGGCCTGCCTCCATCTTTCCAGTCTTTTGAAAAAGTAGATAGACTTTGCTCAGTTATCTCCCCTACAATCTCTCAACAGGAAGTAGACTGTGCCTACCTACGAAAGTCAGACCTGGAAGCCAATGCTGAGGCACTGACAGAAGAGATCAACTTCTTGAGAGCCCTGTATGAGGAGGTGAGGGAAGCTGGTCATTGAAGGTCAGGGTAACCAGAGTATCATTGTAGCAGAAGGCTTGGCAAGCCAAGACAATGGGTGGCTGTTTTGGTGATAGGCACCCTACTGCTCCCCATTGTGTTCCCTACTGATCTTCTGCTCAGCCCTATCCCCCTCCTCAATCTCTACCCCTTTCCTCTCTCTCTCTCTCCTTCCCCTCCCTGCCCCACTTTCTCTCTTCCTCCCTTTTCCTCCCTTATTCTCTCTGTTTCTCCATGTCCCCATCTTCCTCTTCTTTCTTCCCTTCCCTCTCTTTCCTCTCTGGTTTCTCCTCCCTTATCTGTGGTCACCTCAGTCCTGCCCAGGCTACCCAAGGTCATTACAGCTATGACTGATGACCAGGTTCGAGATTGAAATATGGGTAGAAGTAGTGGGTGAAAATGTGGGTAGGGAGGGGAGAGAGTATTTCACTCTCTGGATCTAGTAACAAAAAGTCTAGGGCCAAGCAAGGACATTTCTCCCAAAGTATCAGAGACTGACACAAGCAAAACATTCTCTCTGGGCTAGAGCTAACTTCTTTCTCTGTGCTGACAGATAGGAGGAATAGCACGTATAATCTCATGCCATGGAAAATCTCCAGAGTAATTCGGTTGTGTTTAGGGAAAGTTAACCTGATTTCTCTGACAGTTTTTGCCCTTCCTAATTCTTTTGGGCTAAGAGAAGGTTAAGATGGGCCCATGAACACTGGCCTAGATGAAAGCAGTGGCTAAATCTAGAAAAGGTGTAGGGACAGAAAGAGAGAGAGAAAAATACAGAGAGACAGACAGACAGACAGACAGACAGACAGACAAACAGAGACAGAGAGATACAGAGAGAGAGAGAGAGAGAGAGAGAGAGAGAGAGAGAGAGAGAGAGAGCCAGTCTAAAATCAAACAACGCCAAGAAATAATTGGGATGAAACAAGGTCCAGAATAGAGATAATTGCTAACGAATGTTATTTGACCCGAAGAAAGTTTTCATTCTATGAAGAATGTTATATTGTTTCACAGAGATGCATCCCCCCCAGACATAGGTTGTTGGGCTCCGATGAGATAAGAGCAGTCTGGACCATGAACATGAAGCCCAAATAAATTGTTTGTCCTCTTCTCTCCCAATCCACTTTACAGGAGATCCGAATCCTCCACACCCACATCTCAGACACCTCCGTCGTGGTAAAGATGGACAACAGCCGAGAACTCAACATGGACTGTGTCATTGCCGAGATCAAGGCTCAGTACGATGACATCGCCAGCCGCAGCCGGGCTGAGGCCGAGTCCTGGTACCGAAGCAAGGTGAGTGGGTCTGGCTCCCTCAGGTCCTAGAAACTGCAGTGGGAGGAATCTGATGCATGGGGAGTAGATGTCAGAATGGACTGGACCTCTGTCTGTAGACACATCCCCAGAGTGGTTTATAGTCTTCTCTGGGGGTATTTGAAGGAGGCACAGATGCCTTCTTTAACTGAGATAGCATAGAGGCAAAGGCATGAATGTGATGACACATAAACTCCCTGCCTCCCGCAGTGTGAGGAGATGAAGGCCACAGTGATCCGCCATGGGGAGAGTCTACGCAGGACGAAGGAGGAGATTAATGAGCTGAACCGCATGATCCAGAGGCTGACTGCTGAGGTGGAGAATGCCAAGTGCCAGGTATGAACCCAACATTTCTCTTCTGTCCCCCCATCACCAGAAATGTGAAAAATTGAAGCCAGAGGGTTTCAAGTCAAGCACCATAAAGCTTTTTACAAAAACAGAGAGGTAGACTTTCTGTGGATTGTCCTAGGACAGTTGACAGACCACCAGACACTATGAAACCTTCTTTCTTGGAGTAGTCCTGCATGGACAGCCCAGGGGGATGGGGGAATAATTGGATTGTCTCTGCTGGTGTCATAGACTCTAGGTGTCCATGAGTCCAAGACAGTTCAATAATTCTCTTTTCACATCCTACCTATGACACCCCCACACCCCACCAGAATTCCAAGCTGGAGGTTGCTGTGACCCAGTCTGAACAACAGGGTGAGACTGCCCTCAATGATGCCCGCTGCAAGCTGGCAGGCCTGGAGGAGGCTCTGCAGAAAGCCAAGCAGGACATGGCTTGTCTACTGAGGGAGTACCAGGAGGTCATGAATTCCAAGCTGGGGCTGGACATTGAGATCGCCACCTACAAACGGCTGCTGGAGGGCGAGGAATACAGGTAGGAACCCCTAAACCAAGTTCCAAGGAATTTCCAAGTGTTGGCAAGAAAGAAATTTCTTTATTAATAATTAATATCAATATAATTAACACAACTACGTTTAAATGTAATTAATAATAATTAATTTAAATGTAATTAATAATGATAAAATTAAGTTAAATTTACCGTAATTAGAATAACAAGCCCTTAAAAAGAGAAGAGTGAGGGGAGAAGTGGTATCACCACAGATAGTAAATAGTCAAGTTAAAAATGGAGCCAGGTGAAGGGGGAAATCTCTGGTCACCGTTCTCTATGACCTTAAAGAGTAAAAGGACATTCCTCACAATAACTCTGTGCAGATAACAGCATCTTCATTTTTCCAGATGAAACTAAAGGTCAGAGACTGTGACTTTCCAAGGGTCAGACAGTTAGCAAATGGCAGTGTTTGAACCCAGATTTCTCTTGCCTCTATATCTAGTGCTGTCTGGGCATGTTAAGCATAAGGAGCTGGTAGGCTATCCAAGCAGGGACATGCAGGTCCTCACCCACAGTGAAGGTGATCCCCTTACAGAAGAACACTGACTTTGATGGCCTTTTTCTTGAAGCATCAAAGCCAGGATTGTAGCCCAGGCCTTGAATTCAAATCCTGTGTTCTGCCTACTATACCACCATGTTTTCCTCCTGAAAATGGTATTATTTTTATGAGCTGCTTAGGGGAAAAGATTGCCAGAGCTCAAAACTAGGCTTCCAATTCCAGTGCTCTTTGGACTACACTGGCCTGCCTCACTTAAAGATAGGGGCCTTATATCAGACTTCAGAGTGGTCTGCAGGCCTGGGTACAGGAGACATTAAAGACAGGTATACCAGTGATTGGGACAGGTAAATTAAGGTGGCTTATTATAGCTAATTTAACTCAGAGAATTATATCTTTCCCCTACCCCAGGTAAACATCAGAGAATACTAAGTCAGTGCTAGGGTATGGGAGAAGAGATAAAACCCAGGTTCCCAGAATACCCTAGTGAGGTCTTGACCATGCACTAAAATGACCCCCTAACTCGCACCAGCCAGGAAACACTAATCTAGAAAGCAATCAGAAAGGAGAGCAGGGTTTCAAACATCCCTGACATCAGCAGAGTTAATCAATCAATCAGTAAACATATATTAAGTGCCTACTATGTGCCAGGCATTGTGCTAAGTGCTAGGAACACAAAAAGAGGCAAAAAAAACACTCCCTATATTCAAGGAGCTTACAGTCTAATAAAGTTAAACTACTTATTTGCCCAAGGTCCCACAGGTAGTAAAAAGCAGTGTCAAGATTTGAGCCCAGGCCTAGTGACCCACAGATTCAGGGCTCTTTCCACTATGTGTACCCAGGTATCCTCCCCATCCCCCCAGCCCCATCTCTCTAGCTTCATCTAACTTTTTCCACATTCCTGGAAATTTATCAACTGAGACTGAGTGAGTTGGGATCCTATTCTGACATTTCTTTTCTCTCCTTTTCTCTCCCCTCTTCAGGCTATGTGAAGGTGTTGGTGCTGTGAATGTCTGTAAGTAATTTTGACTTTGAAAGAAGAGATTGAGGTTACATAGCAGGGAGGACTTCTTGCCTGGGAGAGTAGAGAGGCCCTGTAAGAGGCGCTTCCTCTAAGACCATGACAAGAGGGCAAGGGCCAACTCCAGTCAACCTGATCTATATCTTGCCACAGGACCCAGATGGCTCTGGAGGAGAAAGTGACGCTGGTGACTTGGCATAGCCCTCCCTCACTTAAATCCAATTTACTTGCAAGTCATGGAATCATCTTTGTGATGCCATGGTCCTCTTCCAGAATAGAAGGATAAACAACAATAATGACAAGAGGGAGTGCTCTGATCTACCATAGGAGACCAGACAAGCCCATGGAAGGGAAGTCCCATGGGGTTAGTCTCAGGAAGGACTTCTCAGATGGGAAAATGGGAAGACAACTGAAACAGGGCAGTGAGGAACCAGATACCATTTCCTTCCTGGGAAGTCTGGTCAAATTAGAGAGATTGTTACCAGAATGGCTTGAGACAAGAAATGACTGGTCTTGCTTGGAGTTGGGAGCTTGAAAATGTTGGCTTCACAAGCAGGAAATCTAATATTGCCCTGAACCCTCTTCCTTCTCCTCCTCTCTTACTTCTGCAGGTGTGAGTAGCTCCCGGGGTGGTGTCTCTTGTGGTGACCTTTGCCAGTCCGGCTCTCGACCCATCACCGGCAGTGTCTGTAGTGCCCCTTGCAGTGGGAACCTGGTGGTGAGCACCGGAACCTGTGCTCCCTGTGGACCCCTCAGCACCAGCTGTGGAAGATTCTAGAAGGAGCCAGAGAACCAGAGGTGCCCTTTCCATCATCTCCAGATGTGTTCTATTCCCTAACAGCCCCCCCCCAGATCTCAGCCTCCTAAAACAGCTGTTTTCCTACCTCGTGTTCTGAGAATACACCAAACTCCCCATTCCCTTACACCCATGATCTGGAAACATATCTCTGATGGTAGGGAAATAGATCCCATTTACAGCTCCTTCTTGGATCCTGGACCCAAAAGGGGTTTGTATACAGGGCATTGCTAATCTGCCTCAATCCTTCTCAATGCATATTGTCTTATGTTTATCCAATAAACTTTGGAAGCCATTTTTGGCCCTGAAATGTATGGCTTTCTTGTGGTTTCTCATCCAGGTGATGTCCATTGGGAATGGAACATTCCCACTGGGATAGCAAGCCCTCCTGAAGAACAAGACAAAGCAGAGGGTGTCACTGGTACGAGCACTAGTGCAGATTTTAGGGTTATAGATTCCAATAACAGAGAACTTAGAGATAATCTAGTCTGACTTCCTCAAAGATGAAGAAATCAAGGAACAGAAAAATAAAGTGAAGTGACTTGCCCAACATCACACGTAATTAGGAGCAAGGCTGAGATTCAACCCCAGGTTTTCTGGGTTCCAAATCCAGAGTCATTTCTGCTACACTCTTGCTGGGTTAAGAGCAACCTAGATACCAAGATGAGAGCTCATGGATCTTGTCCTGACCCACTCTCAGGAACATATAAAGTCTCACTTACAAGGCTTACACTTATATACACTATACAAGTTTTGTTGGGGAGGTGAGGGAGAGAAGAGGGTGGTCTTAGAGTGGCAAACAGCTATTGAAAGGCAACATAGCTCTTTACAAATTATCTTTCTTTATTCAACAAAAATTTATCAAGTGCTTACTACGTACAGATTGTGTAAAGTGCTAAGGAGAATAAAACCATTTTTCATAAAATGCAGCCCCTTCAACCAAGGAGCAAAAGAACAAGGGACATGATACCAAAACAGATCATGATAACTTACAAAGACTTGAGCCCTAATCCTCTGAGCTTTCCCTCCCTTTAAGGAAAAAATTATATCAGCCTATCACATCTCACGCCTTGGCAGAAGGTCCTAATGGTCTTCTAAAAGAATTTCTACCACTTAAATAGATTTAGGATCCTTACAGAATAGCCCTGACCTTAGGGATTTAAGAAGCCTAGCCTAGATAGCACTGAAGAAAGAACTTAGTGAAGGTCAACAAAAAAGTCATGTAACTGGGTGTTGAAGGGAGCATTATAGAGATGCACTTTCTTATTTTACCTCCTGACTTGGCACTAAAGGACTCTTGCACTTTGACATAATGAAGTAATACCTTCATTGGTTACTGAGAAGGAAGAAGTGATGACTCAGTAGGCCTTTAAAAAGAGAGTGACTTCATCTTTGGCTCACTCTTTCTTCCCTTCCCAACTATGGGGCTATTTTGAGGCAGCTTGCCATAGCCCTAACCTCAGTCCCCATGAGCTTGTGAGCAGCTGACAGCTCTAACCCAAAGATCCAGTTCTTCTCAGAAGGACGTGGGCTTTAACTAACAAGGCTAAGCAAGCCATCTAACTAACTCTTTCTACCATGTTCAAGGCACTGTTCTGGAAATACAGAAATAAATGTTTGTAGTCTAGGAAAGAGATAAAGCATGAATGCCAATAAGAAGACAGAAAATGAAAAGTACTGAGGAGAGATACATACTAAGTACTATGAAATCCTTCAAGAGGCAGATCATTCCTAGTAATCTCGGCAGTTAACTCCGCACCCTGGGCTTCTGGGCCTCCCTGCCCTCCTGAGCCTTATTCTTCATATCTCTTTGGTTTCCCAACTCGGACTCTCAGTTCTATCCAAGGAACTTGCTCCCTTCCTCCTACCACCACTATTGCAGCATACCTCCCACTTCTGAATCTTCCCACAGGCTATTCTCCCCTTGCCAGGCATAGGATATTCTGATCCAAACTCTACTAACCCCCACCCAGTTCAGCTTTCATCCTATTCCCCCCCATCACTGAGGTCCATCTACTCTCAGCTCTGTCTTTGTTTCTCTGTGACCTACATATAGTAGGACCTTAATAAATGTTTGCTAGATTGTTTTGTTTTGTTTTGTTTTGTTTTGTTTTTTCCTGATTCATGTCCCATCTCCCCCACTAGATGGAGAACTCTCTGAGGACAGAGACTGGCCTTCCTCCTTCCAGATTTCCCTCCCTCCCCAGTTTATCTCATTTTTCTCAGTCAGTCCTTATTTCTTTATCTCTAGCTCTGTTCTTCCCTCCCTCACATGCTCTCTCACCTCAAACAGGGATGTTCAGAATACTTTCTTCTTGCTTCTGCCTGGCTATAGAGTTATGTGTCAGAAACTATAACTCCCTTAGCATCTTTTCCATTTCTCACTGTCCTGAACCTTGTGGTTTGGGATAATCCAGAGAATTTAGAGAGGCAAGAAAAAGAGTGACCACAGAATATTAAAGATGAAAGGAATTTTAGATCATCCAATCCAATCTAATCATTTTAGAGATGAGGAAACTGAGGTCAAGTGACTTTCCCAGGTCACATAGATAGTAAGCAGCAGAGTTGGGATACAAATCTAGATCCTCTGACTACAAACACAGCTCTCTTCCAGCAGTCCCATATTGTTTTTTGCAAAGCAGTTTGCTCAAATTCCATAGTTAATAAGTGATAGATGGTTAGTAAGTAGTAAAATTGGAATTTGGCATGAGAGCTCCCCACCCCTAGTCTACTACTGTGCTATGCCAGATAAGTAGACTCTGGTCACAGTTGGCAATGTTGCTTTTTCCTTCTTGTCCCTTCACCTCAATTATCTAGCTTGCTGAGAGTCAGAAGAGGGGGTGGTGAGAAAAGCAGAGCAGTTCCTGACCATCCAGAGTCAAAAAGCCCCATCTCATCCATGGACTGTCTCTATAATCTTCCTCCTTCTTACCTGCCACATTTTCCCTACACTGGGAAATGACTCCTTCTTCCCCCACCCATTTCTAGTTCCCTTTTATGTTTTGTCTTCTACTCTTAAAATATAAGCTTTTTAAGGGCAGACACTATCTTGGCTGACACATGTAAGCTCTCGCTCTCTCTCTCTCTCTCCCCATCCATCCATCTATTCATTCATCCATCTATCTATCTGTCTGTCTGTCTGTCTGTCTGTCTATCCATATGTCTAATATCTAGATATCTTTCTATCCATCTTCACCAGAGTGGATCTGAATCTTGTATTCAAGCCCCTGAGGCATGAGCTAACTTCTTTTTTCTGAACCCTACCCCTAGGTCCAGCCATACAAACTCATTTTTCCAGACTCTGGTGGCAATTCACAAGTACTTTTGCTCCTCAACGGTGAACAATTCAGATGAGTTGTACAGAGAGTTGATGACAGGGAATAGAAGTAAGTCATTGGAATGCTATAGACACAGCTTCAAAGGACTCATCTTCTGGCCTCCATCATGAGGTCACCATGCAATATCAGCTCTTTGCCATTCTAGCAGCTCCTGAAATTCAACCTCACCCTCACTCTTTCCTCCAGGAAATCATTACAGATTTGTTAAAAGAATGCTGACTCAAGCTGTCCTTTGCCTAACCTATGATGGAGGACTCTTCTTTACCTCAATGATGTCTTGTCCTCTGACCTTTCCATGATTAGTGGTCCCCTGTCTGTTTTAATATTGACAGTTTCTATTCTATCTGGAAGTCAAGCACATATAGCCTTCAGAAAACAAGACTTGGTAGGAGAAGTATCAATGAATCATTAAAAAAAATAAACAGAAAAGCATAGTTCATTCAGAAGGGGACAGACAGAGTAGTGTTGGAAGTACCATGCTAAATTTGTATATTACAAAAAAAAAAACAACCAAAACCAAAAAACCTAAGCTGAGCTTAATGAAAAAAAGAACAACAAATGAGCAATTCACAGTTTTCATCCTTTTATATTATTCTTTGCATATTAAAATGTTCCTGTTTGTTGATATTTATTAAGTTCATTAAAAAATAGAAAATGTAATAAACTAAAGATTAAAATAAGCAGACAAAGGGCATACCTTAATGTCTTCCAATAGCAGAAGAGCAATCATGTGAAAGAATTAAATTTGCCTCAGGGAATAAACCCAAAAGGCAAGGGCAGAAAATGCAGAAAGTCAGATTTAGTCTTAAGGTAAGGAAGCTAACAACTAGAACCTAACCAAAGGGGTATGGACTGCCTTGAAGGTCAGTGAGCTCTCCAAAATTGGAGGTCCACGAGTAGAGATATTGTAGGTAATCTTGAGTGATTTGTGTTCAGGTTAAGATTGATGTAAATGACTTTTAAGAACTCTCTTAACTCTGAGATTCTGTGCTTCTGTGCCCCTTCCACATCCACCTATGACCATGTGTCTATGTCTGTCTTAGACTAGGGGATTCTAAAGGAAAATGTCCCTGGGTGTATAAGTAGGACCAGTCATGGGTGATATTTTAAAGCAGGCAAAGTTCCTTCCCACTGCCATGAACCACCACCACCTTACATCAGTGCTCTAATCAATGTATGATTTTTAAGGAAGAGACTCTTTCCAATAGTGAAAATTACAATTCCCAATGCCTTCTCATCCTTTATCCATTGGCAGAAGTCCACTCCATTGTGAAGGACAGGAGATCTTCTTTTGACATTGCCTGGATACCAATGAAGCACATGGGCTGTCCATCAGTTATTCTTTAATTCTCTACATACCCAGCATGGCTCATTTTCTGATCATACATTTGTTAAGTGGCGTCCTTCACGCCATTTTTGTGACAAATCTTTGGCAACGTTCTGAAGTCTACTCACCTCAACTATGTATCTCCTCACTGGCCTTTAGGTAACACTTATAATTTTAATTCTCCAGAGAGTGGCATATGACTCACAGCCGCATAGCATCACTGCAAAAAAATTTGTGTTAAAAGAAGAGGCCCTTTGTTTCAGAGAGAAACTTGAGCTCATTAAAACATTATGTAATTTCCCAAGTATAACCAAGCTTGATTTCCTCCTCTAATTCATTTCTTAAGACAGCATACCTCAAAGATATTGCAGGGTCAGTTCCAGACCACCACAATAAAGTAAATTCACAATAAAGAGAGTCACATGAATTTTCTGGTTTCCCAGTACATGTAAAGTTATGTTTATATTATATTGTAGTCTATTAAGTATGTAATAGTATTATGTCTCTTTTTAAAAAAAAAAAAAGAAAGCAATGTGCATGCCTTAGTTAAAAAATATTTTATTGATTAAAAAATGCTAGCCATTGTCTGAGCTTTCAGAGAGTTGTAATCATTTTCCTGGGGGAGCGTCT